TGTCATAATGACGTTTATTTTACTGTCATAATGACGTTTATTTTACTGTCATAATGACGTTTATTTTACTGTCATAATGACGTTTATTTTACTGTTATAATGACGTTTATTTTACTGTCATAATGACGTTTATTTTACTGTCATAATGACATTTATTTTACTGTCATAATGACGTTTATTTTACTGTCATAATGATGTTTATTTTTCTGTCATAATGACGTTTATTTTACTGTCATTGTCCCGTTTTTAATGAAACCGATATTTTCCCTTACACTACTGTCAATTTTTTAGCACAATTTTGAACGAAAAAATACTTATTAGCAAGTTGGCAACATTGACACAATAATTAATGCAGTGTTGCCACTGTCACAGCCTACTGGGACCAATTAATAATTTGGAGCACCCACGCTCTATATGTCATAAAAACAGTTCAATAAAACTTTATTAAAATACAAAAGAGTCATTTTTAAGACACAGTTTCGTTTTGGGATCATTTCACTTGCTGTAAACCTTCTCTCCGGCAATCCACGTCGATTTTAGCTCAAGTTTCTCATCCAACATAATAAAATCAGCGTCGGCTCCGAAATTCAACGTCCCTTTGACACTTTCAATACCTAGGGCCTTAGCTGGATGCAAACTGGCCGCTTCTAACGCATACTCAACTGAACAACCTAGAAAAAAAACCCCAAAAATATATTTTTATCACCAAATAAACACAATAGTCACCTGTTGATGTCAAAAACGACCTGACACACTCTATCATCGAGGCTATGCTCCCACATAAAGTGTCAGTTTTGGCGATGTAAGCCCTTCCATTTCGGACTTCAATCTCGAATTGGCCTAGATTGTAGTTCCCCTCAGCGAGCCCTAGGGCTGCAATTGCGTCTGTTACTAGAACTAGGCCTTCGGGGTGGACTCTGTGGGCGATTCGTAGGGCTGCAGGGTGTGTGTGGACCCCATCGGCGATGATCCCGAAATAAACTGTCTTCCCGGGGGGGATTTTCTTGGACGTTAGGAGCCCCACAAGGCCTGGGTCGCGGTGGTGGAACTGAAACCATTCAATTAACCCAAATTGGGGGCTCATTTAGTATGATTACAGGAAGCATTGCGTTGAAGAGATGGGTTATGAGGGAAGCCCCACAATTGATCGCTTTTTCACCCTCTGATAAATTCGCCATGGAATGTCCTACGTAATAATTTAGTTTGTGAGTTGCATATGTGATTTTTTTTACCAACGGAAACCACGATTCCTTTTTGTGACAATTTCCTGATTACTTCGTCAGCATTTGTCAGTTCGGGGGCCAAGGTGATTATTTTAATATTGTCCAAGTTTCCGTACATGTCTTCGACGCTTTGTAAGCCCTAAAATAGCACAATTGCCCCCTCAATTTCGCGACTAGAGCCCTACTGTACTTTATCAAATCCTTTGATACAATTCGGGGGGTGCGCCCCCTTCTTTTCCACGTTGATGAACGGCCCTTCGGTGTGCACGCCCAGAATTGTGGCCCCATGAACCCCGCCTTGACTCTTTCTGATTTTGGGCACGATTTTGTGGTAAATTTCCCTCGGGGAGGTTACTAGAGTGGGGCAATAGGCCGTTACGCCATGTGATAGAAGATTCTTAGATACGAGATTGAGCCCCTTTTCTAGGTTTTCAGTATTGAAGGAGAAGTCGTGCCCAAAGCCCCCTTGAAGAGAAACAATACTAATTGGGCAATTCACGGGTAAAACTCACCATTAATTTGCAGTTCGATGAATCCTGGGGCTATAATAAGGCCATTGCAGTCGATTTTCCTCGATGCTTGGATTTTCTCGTCGAAAAAGATTCTTTCCGGATTTATGATTTTACCATTTCGCACCCACAAATCCTCCTTGATGATTTTATGGTCTCGCAAGATTTTACAATTAATGAATTGGATTAGATCGCTCATGATGTCTCGAGTGCTATCACCATTCTAAACTATCTAATGAATGCCAATAAATGTGGGTTAGGTTATCAGTCCTTGAGCTGATTAGGATCACAACATAATAATAATTCGCGCCACAAAACGAAACCACAAACTTGTGTATTGATATCAGTGAATTTTCATTATTTTGTTAAAAATTTTAATTTGACAAATGACATAACCTTACATTTTGAAACATCGAAGTTTTCGAATTTCGATTATTGGTTTAATATATTATTGATTTTTAAGAAGAATAAATATTCTAGCAAATATCGACGTTTATTACTCTTACGTTTAAATATATTTTTACAATTTTTTTGTTTGATATTGTTAATATTTGTTTCGATATAGTTGATTCGATAAAACAAAATAATTTTTAAACGGCGATTAACTAAAGGAGATAGTGCAAAATACTTGGCAAATTCGTAATCAGCGCGTCAAAATCTATCAGATAGGATAGGTTTAACTTGAATCTGAGACATGTTAAAAAATACAATTTTTTAAGGGGGGGTGTTAACATTTTTTTACTTTTTTTTAATTTGTAAATTGTGGCAAAACTGTGTCTCAATGATATAATATTTTGAGGTAAACCTATGTAAAATGTTCCGGGGAATCGATTGGCGTCAAAAAAACTGCAAAATTCCTAATAGTTTTGAAGTTATAAGCGGATTTAAATTTTTGATATTTTTGACTTTATCAGAAATTTTCTCGATAACTATTTATCGTAGAACAGTAATCTTTTTTGGATATGATAGAAAATTAAATTTGCTTTCGAACAGTACCAAACATTAGAGGTTATTACCAATAAGTCCGGAGTTATTCGCAATAGACCGTTCCGGGTGCCAAAAATCGACCAAAATCTCGACAAAAATCAAAAAAAAAAATTATCTTTAAAATTGATCCATTTCACGTTCTTTACATTTCTAGAGGTCTTAAAGACTCAAATAAATGCATAAAACGCCATTGGATCAAGTTTAAAAAATTTCGAATTTTTTGAATTTTTGAAGATGAGCGGTAGTAAAATCGTAAAAATAGTCAATTTAATAAAAGTCGTAAAAACGCTTGAAATATTGTTTTCTAGACGTAAAATTTTGCGCTGAACATGATACAACAAGTTAAAATACTCTACGATGCATAGTTTTTGAGATATTGAGTAATAAAGTTAAGAATAAGTCTAGAAAAATCCGATTTTGACCAAAAAATCAATTTTTTTTATTCTTATAAAAAACTAGCACTATATGTAAAATTAACCGGAGAACACGCCTGTACAAACCCTGTTGACCTAAGACTCATAGTTTTTGAGATATTAATTTTTTTTTGAAAAAACTAAAAATGGCTCTGTACCCGGAACCATAACCCGGAGCGACTTCCGNTTATCAGAAATTTTCTCGATAACTATTCATCGTAGAGCACTGAAATTTTTAATATATGATAGAAAATTWAATTTTCTATCCAACGGTACCAAATATAAGAGGATATCTCTAATAATTCCGGAGTTATTGCCATTAAACCGCTCGGGGTGCCAAAAATCTTAAAAATTCTTATAAAAAACTAATAAAAAATTTTTTGAATTTTGTAAGTTTAATAAGATTACGATAAATCAAATAGGACAAAAATCATATTAGATAAACTTTTTTTTTTTTTTTTTTTTTTTTAGTCCCACTTTTTACGATCGAGCTTTGGGATCTTTACAGTTTTATTTAGAATCAAAATTAACACTTGGTGGTAGTTTTTGGTCGGGCAAAAATTTCATAAATTACGCAATTTTTAAAACGTTCAAAGTTGTTTTAAGGCTATAATATTAATTGACAAGATTGAGAAAAATCACGAGAATTAAATGGTAAACAGTCGACGCTAAAAAAAAATCATTCTGACATAAAGAATTCAATATCTTGGTTTTTAGTCGACCAAAAAATCTCAAAATATGGAAATTTTTTCTTCACACATAACCCTACTATGTGACATAAAACAAGTTGCATTGCATAAAAAACATTTTAGGGGTTAATTTTTCAAACTAATAAGAACCCTATCGTGTCACCCCTCATACATCTCAGCTAAAAGCGTAGATTTTAAAAATATAACATAAAGTAGGTATTTTGTTTTTCCTATGCGAGATACGAAAATGACCATCGCCAAAGTCAAATTTGACTAAACCGTTCGATAGAACCTTTGAGTGCGCATCTTTTTTAACATACTTTATTTTTACGTGCGACGCATACTTTTCGAGATATTCAAGTTCTAAATTTGAATTTGCGCGCTTTATTGCACTTTATTAAGGTTGGTAATAGTCGGCATACATACGCACACGCGTGTATTTGTAGTTGCATAAGTTTTGGGGATTGTAATCCGGTTTATAGCAATTAAAACAAAACTTTTTATTTACTTTTTGAAATAATCAAATTTTTAGTTGAAAAAAGTAGAAAAACGATTTTTTTCATTTCTAAAATATCACCAGATTTTGGAATGTTCACCAAATCTGGTGAAATTAGGCGTGTTGGGGGTAAATGAGAGCGCGACAACGCTTCAAAAAAATTTATTTTGAGAAAATAAGATTTCCAATATCGTCGAACATGTGAACAATTCCATTCACTTGTACATTGATAAAGCAACAATCTTTACAACAAATTATCATTCACAAATATTGGTGTTTCTATTTAGATCATTATTGATGGTTTTCAACACAAGTACAAGCAAACAGAACGAATCATCACTCGGTGGTAAATGGCGGGAAAATACGACTTGTTTGAATTTCTTTGAGCATTTTCGCTGTAATTGTGGTTGGCTTGGATAAAAGTCGCAGTTTCACGGGCAACAATAAAAGAAGATTTGTTAAAACAGACAACATTTGACAACGATGTTAAATATACTTAGTATTTAGTTTGCTCTGCTATTTTGTAATAAGACACTTATTAGTTATTTGTCAAATAAAATATCGAACAGATTTGCGTAATAAAGAAACATTTATGATTACACAAGGCGACAAAAAAAAGTCATGTCGTGACAACTTGACAAATTTTATATCATTTTGTTCGTCTCAGTGAGACAAATCAAATGTACTAAAAAAAAATTTAAAAAGTCCATACACTTTGAACAAAATATTGTTTTTCTAATTTAAATGAATTTAAAATACTTTAACTTTAAAAAATCATTACTCAATAACTATTAGGCCGATTTCCTTCAAATAAAGACGATTCTAAAGGGATGGCCTTGCCCTTTAGAATGATATCAAATTTGAAATTGAATATATATTAAAATGATGAAAAAAAAATTTACTCGTAGGGTTTTTCTTAGATTATTTCGATTTACTTCGAACTTTTTCGAACACTGTTCGAAGAAAAGTTTGCCAATATTCAATTTCAAATTTTATATCATTTTAAAGGGCAAGTCCACCCCTTTAAAATGGTCTTTATTTGAAGAAAATCGGCCTAATAGTTATTGAGTAATGATTTTTTAAAGTTAAAGTATTAGGCAATTAATTAGATCAAAATTGACAATAATTTGTATAATATCGGAAGATTTAGCTTGTTTTTGAGTAATGACGTGTTTCAGGTCCAGAACAAAGCAAAAATAATGTCATTTTTGGTAATATTTAACACAATTTTTGCGAATAAATTCGAAATAATCTAAAATAGAGTAATATGTAATAAACTTTGATCATTTTTGGCTTATTTTGACGATATCTTGAGGAATACACGAGTTTCTCGATCAAATTTAGTCATTTTTTGGCTTGTTTTAGCGAAATTTTGGCTTAAAAACGTGTAAGTGTTTGAAAATGGCAAAAATAATAACATTTTTTTAAAATCCAATTTGGTGTTTTTTTGGGGAATTTATTGAAAATTTGCGTTTTTGATTGAAAAGCATGTCAAAAGGCACAATAAAGGTAACAGTAATGTTATTTTTCAGTTAGTTTACTGATTTTTCGAGATACTTTGGCGATTTTTTTGGCTTTTGAGCAAAATACATTATAAAAAAATTGCAAAATCTCGTTAAAAAACTGTTTATTCCTCAGAAACATGTTTAAAGTCTCAAAAAAGGCAAAAATAATGTTATTTTTTAATTAATGTAATGATTTTTCCACATATTTGGAGTAAAACACAATATGAAACTTTTAAGGAAATTGGCGTTTTTTACCTTGTTTTCTCTCAATTGCAATGAACAAGAAAGTCACTCATTTGACAGGTTTTTGTCAAAACATGGGTTAAAAGTCGAAAAACAATAGACGAAAATTGACCTGTTTGCTCATGTTTAGGCAAGATTTTGTAAAAAAAGACGAAAACCCAACAAAATGGATCAAAATTAACGTTATTTTATACTGTTCTGAAAGATTTAGCTTGTTTATGGAGCAATGCTACTTGGTTTATTCTTTTGAAAATTTGGACCACAATTAATAAAAAGATGCTCTACACGATGGTAATGATGAAAAAAAATTATTCGTAAGGTTTTTCTTAGATTACTTCAATTTACTTCGAACTTCTTCGAACACTGTTCGAAAAAAAGTTTGCCAATATTCAATTTCAAATTTCATATCATCCTAAAGAGCAAAGCCATCCCTTTAGAATGGTCTTTATTTGAAGGAAATCGGCCTAATAGTTATTGAGTAATGATTTTTTAAAGTTAAAGTATTTTAAATTCATTTAAATTAGAAAAAAAATTTGTTCAAAGTTTGTGGACTTTATGAAAATTTTTTAGTGCATTTGATTTGTCTCACTGAGATGATATAAAATTTGTCAAGTTGTCACGACATGAGTTTTTTTGTCGCCTTGTGTTATTTTTTTTCGTCTTTCTTTAGTCATTTAGTATCAAAATATGTCAACATTTCTTGCTATCTAAGAGTAATTAAAATATATTTAGTCTTACAAACACCTGGTTTGTGTGTGTTTTTCAAATATGAAACATCGAACACGATTACAAACAGCAACAAGTCTCTATACAGACAGGGTCCACGTAACCTGCCGAGTATTCTTCACAACACAGGTACGAAAAAAACAGATCAAATACACGATTCCTATAAATACAGTTAACAGTTGAAAATAACTCGGTGTAAAGGCGCACAAATAAATTCCGATATCATTGAAACAGTTCCAGAATTGCACGAAAACAACAATAAACATTGACCGAGACTGCTTGCAAGAATAAAAAATCGTACACGCAAGGCAGACACTTAATTCATAATAGATTGTCTGCAATCACACCCATTTTTTTTTATATAAAACATGAATCACTTGTTCCCAGTTGGCATGGCTTTACATAAATTTTGTTTATTGTTTGTTGATGGATGCAGAAATTGCTCATTGATTGTCTTCTAATCTAGTCACAAAAAAGTCCTAAGTACTGTAATCGAAAGACTCCCATTCCGAAAATCGGGAGTCCTGTTTCTGCAGTCTTTGGGTACACTCTTTCAGATACGAGTCCTGGATCCGGTACATCCCCGAATTCGCCTGGAACATGAGCGTCTCCAGGATGCGCTCGTTCTTGATGGCTTTCGACGGCAACACCACCTGGAAAACGAACGATTTTAGTTTGGGGAAAGTACAGGGTGCTGCATTTTAGATGTCCGAAACTAAGAGGTTTAGCCAAAAACGAGTAATACATTCTGGGGCTCATTTTTTGAGAAATTAATATTGGTTAAAACCGCATCCCGCGATCGTGTTTTGTTTTCGACTTATAGACAAAAATTGACATTTTAGCGAAATCTAAAAAAAATCATATCTTCGTTATTATACAAGACACAGATTTGAAATAAAGACATTATTTAGACACTTTTTTACGTAGAATTTAATAATGTAGTTAACAATTTTTTTCAGTTGTTTGTTTAGTCGTAATAAAATAAACTTGTATTTTTTTAAATGGGAATCATAGATTGCTATGTCATTTTTAAAAAGCTTGTTTTTTTCTTATGTAAAAATATATATTTGTAACAAATTATCTTTGATTTTTCTTCGCAGTTAAAAAAATGTTGCATCTTCAACTAAAAGAATTTAAACTATATTATATTCAACCAGTGTCACTAATGAAAGAGTTTTCTAAGTACTAAGTGACGAAAAAGATGCAAAATAAATTGTAAATCAACTTATTGGCGACTAATAACATTTCTTTGTTTTTAAATATGCTAACATTACCATTGCAACTTCTAGTGATACATAGAGTGTTGTAAAAAAAGCCGCTTTAATTCTTCAATAAAATATATTTTATATGACACAAAAATGACGATATGGCTATTCAAATATCCAAATTCGGTCTATGTGAAACCTTATCCTACCTCCATTAGATCATCAAAAAAATGTTTTTTGTAATTCTGTTGACTGTTGACACATTTGTTTTTCCTATTTTTGGATTTTTTAAAAATATGTAATAATTTTGTTCTGAGGCGCTGGGATATTTGTTCAATGCTTCTACCGTATCGTATTTTTTAAATCTTTATAATTTTATCTATTTTTTCATCTATTTTACAGTTCACAAAACTCTTATTGATTATTATTTACACATTTGGAGTGAAATAGTTTTTCCATGGCCAACTATTATCACACAAAATATGTATTTCACTTTTTAAGTATAGTTATAAAAAAATATTTTGTTACAAATATATAATTTTTAGATCAGAAAAAAATAAGCGTTTTAAAATTGCCATAGCCGCCTATGATTTACATTTAAAAAAATACAAGTTTATCTTATTACGGCTAAACTAATAACTGAAAAAAATTATTAACTACATTATTAAATTCCTCGTAAAAAAGTGCCTGTATAATGTCTTTATTTCAAATCCGTATCTTCTATAATAACGAAGATATGAATTTTTTTAGATTTCGCTAAAATGTCAACTTTTGTCTATAAGTCGAAAACAAAAGACGATAACGGGATGCGGTTTTAACCAATATTATTTTCTCAAAAAATGAGTCACTCGTTTTTGGCTAAACCTCTTAGTTTCGGAGATTCCCTATTCGGACATCCAAAATGCAACACCCTGTACACAGAAGTTTGAACAACTTTGATTAGTTCTTGCGGGGAGATTCGGTACAGTTTCAAATCGCGCGCCAGTCTTTCCATAATGCACTTGAATTCTAACTTGGCATCCAGTTTACTTGAAGTCTTGGTTCGGATCTTGTGGCGCGCCCAGGCTAACATGGCTTCGAACTTCCTCACTTCGGGAACTTCCAAATTCCTGCAAATCAAAATAATCACTTTTAATTTTTTTATTTGTAAAAATTTTGTGGATTTCAAAAGAATAAAATGTCGAAAATTGCTTTTTTCAAGCGTTTTTGAGCTTACAACTTGTTTATTTCGCTAAAGGAAGCCAAAAAATTGTTAAATTAAGTCGAAAATGACCGAAATGCAAATTTTTAGGAGAACTAGAGAAGCCTAAAAATCATCTGTAGAAAAAATAGTAATTATTGCTTTTTTCGGATGTTTAAGCATTATTGAGCACATTTTTAGTTTGAAAACTATCTTTTTTTTGCAAGATTTTGTTATAATTGTTGTTTTGCTCGGTTTTTAAACGTTATTAGTTTATAACAAGCCGAAAAATCACGTCTAATTTGGTCGAATTTTCTTTTTTCTTTGCCTTTTGCGTTTAGGCACATTTTTGAGTTAAAAATTTGTAATTGCAAAATAACGAGAAAAAAGTGTTTGCTTTTTTTAAGCCTTAAAAACGTTTTTCAATTTCCACCGACAAAATTTTTCTCAAAATAGCGATAAAACAGTCCGAAAACTCAACAAATTAAACTGAAATTTTTGCTTTTCTTACCTCTGTAGATACTAAAAACTAAAAATTGTTAAGAAAATGGCATTATTTTTGCTTTTTTCAATGTTTTAGCACGTTTTAAGATCTTATTTTTAAAAAAATTTGCTAGTATAAACCTAAGGATTATGACATTAGGTCAAACATGATGTCATTTTTGTTTTTTAGCGTGTTAAAGCATATTTTTTTTGCAAAAAAATATGAAATTAGTTTAAAATTGACGTTATTTTGAAATGTTTTGCTCGGTTTAGCTCGTTTTTGTACAAAATGTGTTCATAACAAACTGAAAAGTCTCTAAACTATAAACAATAATAGGAAAAAATGTTTTCGAGTTAACAGCTCAAACTGGTCCAAAAATCAAAACATTAGTTTAAAACTAACGTTTTTTGCCTTATTGGAGTGCTTTAGCATGTTTTTAAATCAAATTTTGCTTAAACAAACCGAAAAACGCATGTTTGATTTGGTCAAAAATATTTTAATTTTGTCTTTTTTCAGCATTTAAGCACATTTTTGAGTTAAAAATTCAGTTTTTTTGTACAATAAGTGACACTTGCAGCTTTGTTTGTAAGAATTTTGCGGATTTCAAAAACATCTTTGTTTTTTAAGGAATAAAGCAAAATAATTATGTCGAAAATCGCTTTTTTTCAAGCGTTTTTGAGCTTACAACTCGTTTATTTCGCTAAAGTAAGCCTAAAAATTGTAAAATTAAGTGGAAAATGACATAATTTTTACCGAAATGCAAATTTTTAAAAGAACTAAATAAGCCTAAAAGTCATCTGTAGAAAAAATAGTAATTATTGCTTTTTTCGGATGTTTGAGCATTATTGAGCACATCTTTAGTTTAAAAACTTTCCTTTTTTGCAAGATTTTGTTATAATTGTTGTTTTGCTCGGTTTTTAAACGTTATTAATGTTATTAGTTTATAACAAGGCGAAAAATCACGTTTAATTTGGTCGAAAATGTTTTTTTTTTGCCTTTTTGGAGTCCTTTAGCATGTTTTTAAATCAAATTTTGCTTAAACAAGCCGAAAAATGCTTTGGTCAAAAATACTTTAATTTTGTCTTTTTCCAGCATTCAGGCACATTATTGAGTTAAATTTTTTTATGTACAATAAGTGACACTTGCAGTTTTATTTGTAAGAATTTTGCTGAAATCTCTGTTTTTTAAAGAATAAAGCAAAATAATTATGTCGAAAATTGCTTTTTTTCAAGCGTTTTTGAGCTTACAAGTCGTTTATTTCGCTGAAGTAAGCCAAAAAATTGTAAAATTAAGTCTAAAATGACTGAAATGCAAATTTTTAACAAAATTTGGCTCAAAGAAGTCTAAAAATCATCTGTAGAAAATAGTAATTATTGTTTTTTTAGATGTTTGAGTATTATTGAGCACATTTTTAGTTTGAAAACTCTCCTTTTTTTCAAAATAACATATCAAAATTGACGTTATTTTGGAATGTTTGGTTCGATTTTTAAATGTTATTAGTAAATTAATAAATTTGGTTGAAAATGCTAGAATTTTGCCTTTTTTCTATTTAGGCACATTTTTGAGTAAAAAATTTGTAATTGCAAAATTATGTGAAGAAAGCGTTTGCTTTTTTCAAGCCTTAAGGACATTTTCTAATTTCCAGCAACAAACGCCTTTTTTTTTTCAAAATAGCGATACAACAGTCCGAGAGATTAGGTGTTATTTTGTGTCTTTTACGTTTAAGAGGACAGTTTTAAGCTAAAAACTTATAACAAACTTAAAACTCAACAAAGTAGACTGAAAATTTTGCTTTTCTTAACTTTGTAGAAACTAAAAACTAAAAATTGTTAAGAAAATTTTGGTTTTTACAAGCGTTTTAGCACGTTTTTAGCTTTCATTTTTACAAAACTTTGCTAGAACAAGCCTGAGGATTACCACATTAGGTAAAACATGATGTTATTTTTGTTTTTTTTGAGTGTTTAAGCATATTTTTAACCTCAAATCAAGTTTTTTTGCAAAAAATTACCAAATTAGTTTAAAATTGACGTTATTTTGAAATTTTTTGCTCGGGTTAGGCCGTTTTTGTACGAAATGTGTTCCTTACAAACTGAGTATTTTAGCATGTGTTAAAATCAAATTTTGCTTAAAAAATGCATGTTTAATTTGGTTAAAAATACTATAATTTTGTCTTTGTTTAGCGTTTAGGCACATTTTTGAGCTAAAAATTTCATTTTTTGCAACATTTCTCTAAATTAAATTAAAAATCTACTATTTACGATTTTTGTACAATAAGTGACACTTGCAGTTTTATTTGTAACAATTTTACAAAAAATAGAGCTATCCCATTCAAAAAAAAATCGCTCACAAACAAGTTTTTTGCTTTTTTCAAGCGTTTAAGCATGTGGGCCAAAAAATAATAATCAAATAATAATAAAATTTGCCTGAAAGAGCTAAAAAATCTGTAAATAGGTTGAAAATAGTGTAATTTTTGTCTTTTTCGGATATTTGAGATTGAACACACATTTTGGGTTTAAAAACTGTCTTTTTTTTCAAAATTTTATTTTATAACACGTCGAAAAATCACCAAACTTTATCAAAAGTTGTGTTATTTTTGCTTTTTTCGAGTGTTCAAGCACATTTTTAGGATAAAACTCGTTTTTGCAAAACACTGCTCAACTGGGCCAAAAGATTGGAAGATAATTATTTCGAAAATTGCATAATTTTTGTTTGGCTATTTTTAAACCAAAAACGCACGTCTTTTACAAGATTTTACTAAAACAGACCGAAAAATCACCAACGCACTTTTTTATCAAATTTTGTTTAAGCAAGTCGAAAAAAATCATGTTGAATTTGGTCAAAAATATTGTAATTTTGCCTTTTTTCAGCGTTCAAACAGATTTTTGAGCTAAAAATTGGGTGTTATTTTTGACTTTTTCGATCGTTAAAGGCCTGACTGGACTGAAAACTTTTTGAAAGAAATTTTTCGAGATCTCGTTTAACGCAGATTTTAAACTCAACCAATTAGATCGAAATTTTTGCTTTCTTTAACTCTGTAGAAACTCAAATCTTAAAATCGAAAATAGCATCTTTCTAGCGTTTTAACTTTTTTGAACAAATTTGCTTTTTTGCAAAATTTTGGTAAAACAAGCTAAATAATTCCACCAAAGATGTTGTTTTCAAGCGCTTAATAAGTTTGTTTTTGAGCAAAAACGTTAATTCTTTCGCAATTTTTTTCTTAACCCTTAAGCTTTTTTTTTTAATTTTTTAGTACGTTTATTAAAATTAACTTAACTTTGCCTCGATTTAGCTTTTTTAAAGCGAGTTTTTGTCAAAACAGATGAAAAATTTACATTTTTTTGCAATTATCAAAAAAAATTATGGTCAAATATTTACGGAATATTTATTGCATTTAGAAAAAAAATAAGCAAAAAATTGGTCAATCCAAAAAAATGATCACCTACTGGTAGTGAACACATTTTTTGCTGTTATTGTTGGTTTGTGCAAGTCTTAATTTTTTTCAAAAATGTTAAATACCTGCACATGATCATCTGAACCATCGACTCGCTCAGTGTGAGAAACTCCGGGGTGGTGAAAAGGGCATAAGTGCGAGTTTCGACAAAGGCCAAAATCATATTGACCAATTCTGACGCGGAGGTATATCTCCAGTAGTAATTCTCCAGCGAGCATAACATACAACACACCTGAAAGAAGAAAAATTCTCCTGAAAATTACCCCAAGTGTGAAAAATATCACTTACGACTTCTATTCTCAGGAATTGTTTGGCATGGTGGAAGCAGGCTTGAAGCAGCTCAGGAAGGTCGTAATGCTCAGCAGCGCAAATCAATCCCGGAATGGTGGAACAAGTGAGCGGACAAGATCCGGTATGTAAATAATCCAGTAATATCCGGAATGTGTCTGGATCGAATTCGATTATCGAAAATTCAGTCTGTGCCAATTTGGCACGATCGACTTTCTGAGCATCGGCGCATACGCTCAGTCTTGGGACGGGCAATTGGGCCGCCGTCGGCTTATCCTTCCCTTCCTTGTCCTTTCCGTCCTTATCTGGAGGAAATTGAGTTAGAAAAATTATATTACAAAAAAAAAAACGAAAAATTTTTTAAAATCCAACTAAATGCACTTCTAGGGGTCCAAGAGACTTAGAAAAAGGCAAAAATGTTGAAAAGCATTTGCTTTTTTTAAGTCTTAAGGACGTTTTTCCAGCGACAAATGCACTTTTTTAATGCTAAACAGTCCGGGAAATTAGGTGTATTTTGTATCTCTTACATTTAAGAGGACCAAAAATCAAAAAAATTGTTTAAAATTAACGGGTTTTTTGGCTTTTTGGAGTGTTTTAGCATGCGTTTAAACCCAAAACGCACTTTCTTTCTTCAAAACTCAACAAATTAGACAGAAATTTATGCTTTTTTAAGTCTGTAGAAACTAACTAAAAACCGATTTAAGAAATAAAGAAAATGACATTATTTTTAGCATGTTTTTTTAGTTATATTATCATTTTTACAAAATTTTACTAAAACATGCCTAAGGATTACCACATTAGGTCAAACATAATGTCATTTTTGTTTTTTGTCTTTAAGTACATTTTTACGCTAAACTTATTTTTTTTTTTGCAAAAAATTACCAAATTTCTTCAAAATTGACGCTATTTTGAAATGTTTTGTTCGGTTTAGCTCGTTTTTGTATGAAATGTGTTCATAACAAACTGAAAAGTCTCTAAACAATTTTTGGAGTGTTTTAGCATGTTTTAAACCCAAAACGCACTTTCTTTTAACACATTTTGCTTTAACAATCCGAAAAATTCATGTTTAATTTGGTCAAAAATACTATAATTTTGTCTTTTTTCAGCGTTTTGGCACATTTTCCAACTAAAAATTTAGTTTTTTTTGCAAGACCTCTCTAAACTACATTAAAAAATATCACAAAACAAATAAAAAGCTGATTTTTTATTGTTTTTTCAAGCATTTTAGGACGTTTTCTAATTTTTGGTTGCAAGCGCACATCTTTTTGCAAAACTGTGATAAAACAGTCCGGAAATTTACCAAATTAGATGTTATTCTTGAATCTTTCAAGCTTCAAAGAACATTTTTGGAATGAGAAGTTTTACAAACAATTTTTGATAAATTTCGTTTAAAACAGATTTTAAACTCAACAAATTGGATTGAAATTTTTGTTTTTTAAACCTATAAAAATTCAAATCTAAGAACTCATTTTTTGTGCAAGATTTTGTTATCACAAGCCTTAAAATCACCAAATTAAATGAAAATTAACGTTATTTTGCCTCGATTTAGCTTTTTTAAAGCCCGTTTACGTCAAAACAGCTAAAAAGACAAGAAATTATAACAAAATTGGCGTCATTTTAAACAAATTTACATATTTTTTTTGTACATTTATTAAAAAAAAATTTATAGTACGGACGTGGCAAATATTTATTGAATTTAAAAGAAAACATAAGTAGAACTACTTGACAGATTTTTTTCAAAGACATTGAGGTAACCCACAATGTTTTTGAAAAAAATCTGTCAATCTAAAAATAGTAAATAATTTTTTTTTTTGTAATAAATACATTTTTTGCAATTATTGTTGGTTTGTGCTATTGGACATTAGATTGAAATTTTTGTTTTTTTTTAACGCTATAAAAATTGAAATCTTAAAATCGAAAATAGGATCATTTTTACACTTTTCAAAAGTACCTTTTTAGCAAAATTTGCTTTTTGTGTTTTTTCGTAACATTTCTCTACACTATATTAAAAAATCACAAACCAATTAAAAAGTTCATTTTTATTGTTTTTTTCAAGCGTTTTAGGACGTGTTCTAATTTCTAGTTGCAAGCAAAACTGCGATAAAACAAAATAAAAATTAAAATCTTTAAAATTCAACTAAATGCACTTCTAGGCGTCCAAGAGACTTAGAAAAGGGAAAAAATGTTGTAAAATACTCTAAAATGTGTATAAAACGTTATAGGGTTGAGTTAAAAAAAGTCGATTTTTTTTGAGTTTTGATTATGGCCAAAAAAATATATTTTTTGAAATGATCTTTTTTATAAGCTAAGAAATTCAAATTTCAAAGTCATTAGTTGTGCTCCGGGTACCGAAAATCGCCAAAAATCTACCAAATTAGGTGTTATTTTTGATTTTTTCGAGCTTCAAAAAACATTTTTGGACTGAAAACTTTTACAAGCAAATTTTGATAAATTTCGTTTAAAACAGATTTTAAACTCAACAAATTAGATTGAAATTTTTGCTTTTTTAACCCTGTAAAAATTCAATTCTGAAAATCGAAAATAAGATAATTTTTACATTTGTCAAGCGTTTTAGCACCTTTTTAGCAAAATTTGCTTTTTTTGTTTTTTTCGTAAGGTTTCTCTACACTATATTAAAAAATCACAAACCAATTAAAACGTTCATTTTTATTGTTTTTTTCAAGCGATTTAGAACGTTTTCTAATTTTTAGTTGCCAAGCGGAAATTTACCAAATTAGGTGTTTTTTTTTTGATTTTTTGAGCTTTAGAGAACATTTTTGGACTGAAAACTTTCACAAAGAAATTTTGAGAAATTTCGTTTAAAACAGATTTTAAATTCAACAACTTGGATTGAAATTTTTGCTTTTTTTAACCCTATAAAAATTCAAATCTCAAAATTGAAAATAGTATAATTTTTACATTTTTCAAGCGTTTTAGCACCTTTTAGCAAAATTTGCTTTTTTTTTTGTTTTTTTTCGTTAAGATTTCTCTACACTACATTAAAAAATCACAAACCAATTAAAACGTTCATTTTTATTGTTTTTTTCAAGCGTTTTAGGACGTTTTCTAATTTCCAGTTGCAAGCAAAACAAAATATAAAAAAAAACCGAAAAAATTAAAATCTTTAAAATTCAACCAAATGCACTTCTAGGGGTCCAAGAGACTTACAAAAGGGCAATAATGTTGTAAAAACACTCTAAAATGTTGAGTGTTGAGAAAAGTCGATTTTTTTGAGTTTTCGTAGGAATCGTAAAGATGGTCAAGCAACTTTTTGTCGCAAAAACGGTTGAACTTCTTGAAACTCTGGACGTAAGATTACACGCTGAACACGATGGTTAAAAAGTCGATTATGGAAAAAAAATAAAATTTTTTAAATGATAGAAAATTCAAATTTTAAAGTCATTAGTTGTGCTCCGGGTACCGAAAATCGCCAAAAATCTCGCCAAAATTCGAAAAAATAAAACGAAATTCAACCATATGCACTTATAAAAAGAAAAAAAAAATTTACTTGAGCAGTCTTGGCTACTGGCCCACTTCTTCTTATCCTCGGCGGAGAGCTGCTGCGCATTGTGCTTCCTGATGGACCTCCCCCAGCCGGCGGTGATGGTCCCCAGCCGCGAGAAGGCCCTTTTGACCATCGGCGAGCTGGGGACGCTCTTGGGCCTCGGCGACTCGATATCCGGCACCTGGAGGAAGTTGCTACTCTTCGGCCTACTCTGCTGGGGGCTGAGGAGGGTCGGGACTGGCCTTGCGAGGAGTTCAGCCACGGGCACTTGGGGCGAACCGAATCCTGTCTGGATGCCGTACAACATCTCCTGGAAGACGCGACTACGAACCCCCAGGATGGCGCGCACCCCCACGAGTTTGGCCTTCTGCTTGGATTGGCCCACGAGGAAGGTCACGTCGAAGAGTTGGGCGTTGGCCAAACAGTTCGATTCGGTGTTGAGGAACATCCGAGTGAAGTCTTTCGCGATTTGGTCGTAGTCTTCGAATTGGTCGCGGACGCTGTCCAGGAGGGGGGAGGAGGGACGCATGTGGCCTATAGGCCGCCACGAGCCTGCAAAGAAAATGTTTTTTTTTGACAAATTTCGATTCAATTTCTTATGTAAGAGATGAGTTTGTAGGTTTCGCATTGAAAAATCTCTGTTTTTTAAAGAATAAAGCAA